TCATTCATTCATTCATTCATTCATTCATTCATTCATTCATTCATTCAAAAAATATTACGCCACCTTTCTCCTTGAAAAGGACCCAAGATGACTTACAACACTGAAAGACAATATTTAAAGCTGAAAACAATGAGTATAAAGAGGCAGTTTACATCATTAAAAGAGAAAGCTAAGAACAAGGAGAATACAAATATTTAAAAAGGAAAAACAAATCTGAGAGTGCCACGTAGTCCAGCTGCACAGCCCTTGTTCCCTCCCTCCACATATGATCCTGGTGTTGCTTTGGGGGTGGGTGGGTGAGTGAGAGAGGGCTTAGCCTTGCCTGCCACAAACAAGTGTCCCCTCCCCGCAAGGCAATATAGACCTTAGTTCCAAATGGGTTCCACAGCTCTGGCTTCTTAACTGGATCAGTCTCACCAGTCACCCAACACCCTGAATTGCAGCACCCAGATTTACAGCCTTCCTGGTGAAGACCTTTATCTACTTGACAAGGCAGCCCACGACAGCACTCCGGGCGCACAACAAGGGGCTCAGATATTCCCACCATGCCAGCTCTGATGCGGCCCTTTGCTTCGTTGCAACAAAAGGCTATTCCACAGGTTCAGTTGTAACTCAAGAGCTACAGGGCAGAATCAATCGGGTCCTGCGTTATTCTAACTTTTTAGATGCCAGCTCTCTCCATCATTGCCCATTTTACTTAAGGGCAGCGTGTTTTCAATTGTAGCTGAGCTATACAATCCATTTTTAATATATCATTATAATAGGATGTGGTGAGTGTCACAGCAATGGGAAACAGGTCCACTCGCGTCGCAGACTTGCTCCCTCCTGGTGACCTGGCTGCTCTTCTGGAGCAACTATTAGGTGATAACATAAATAGCTCATAATGAGATAGACTGTTGCAGGACAAAATCCACTCCTACTCACAGTTGAAACTGGAAAGGTGGGGAATGGAGGCCGATGATGGGGAGTTGGGCATCTCTGCCACACAGAGATAGCAGAGATGCTGACACTTCAGCCTCCTGTTCTACTATACCACTGCTTTGATCTCTCAAAGAAACGCACCTTAATATACTATACAGTACATGCTCCTTGAGCTGGTGCAGCTTAATGGGTTGGAGTCAGCTGAAATCACTCAAAGTATTTCGGGTTGATAGCCCTGTAGGGCCTTGGGCAAGCCGCACCATCCCAGAGTACCACCAGGAGGAGGAACGGGTGAATAACTTGTCCTGGGAGAAGTAGCAATTGCAAATATCCTTGCAAAGATCTGCAGGAAACAAAGTTACCTCCTCCATCACAAGACAAATTCAAACCACAAAAAGAACTCACTTGAAAGTATACAACCAAAAAGTTAATCCTAGTTTTACGCCATCCTTCAAACAGCTTCTTCTTTCCACCAGGGCTGGAGTGTGGAATATTCTCCATCTCCCCACCAAGCCAAGCGATAAACTGTCCACCAGCCCTTCCCAAATCTTGAGCCCCTCACCTCTCATTATTCTCAGCCATCATGGCCATGAGTACTGGACTTGTAGGAGATGCAAAGCGCATCAACTGTCCTCTGGGCTACCAGCAACAAGGGTTTAAGCTGCCCCATAGCACATTTTTTCCATTGCGTGACATGCAAAGGCCTCGACACACAAAGCTGAGTGCAAGGATGCCTGCAGCGCTGCAGAGACATCTAGAACAGGTGCTCTCAGTTTGTCAGAGGCAGCCAACTTTTCCCAGTTTTAAAATTTTTCTTTTTTGGGAACTGCAACGCCCAGAGTCTTTGGCTCTACTTGCAGGCTAGCCAGAGATTCTGGAAGCTGTAGTTTTTTTTTTAAAGTAGCTTTATTCTACCACCACCCCCCAGATGAGCTCCACTGTATCGCAGGTGTTCTCTCTGTTGCCCCACCCTACTGGGAGGATGAGTTTGTCTATACAGGAGAACCTGCCTTTTGGCAGGACAAGGAAAGCCGTGGGGGGGGGGGGAAACAATGCTTTGCTGTGCAGAATCCTCCCAAACTCTTGGAAATCCTCTCAAAAAGCTGCACACAGACAGCCATGAAAGCAGCCCAACCTAGGAACGGCAGCCAAAATGCAGAACACGTCTCCGATTCCTTCATTTCGGAGGGCTCCTGAGCAGAGACTAGGAGAAGGAATTAGAGGCGAAGACAAAATAAAAAGTGTTTAAAGAGAGACCAAAACGAGGTGGCACCTTAAAGACTAACTTTTGTATTATTATTTTTGATGTGAGCTTTCACGGACTTTGTCTTTAAGGTGTCACCACGTTTTGGTCTCTCCCCCCCCCCTTTTCCCCATTGATGCTTGCACATTACAATATTAAGGTGCCACCATGTTTTTGGTCTTTTTAAAAACGTTTTACTTTGTTTTCACCGAGAATGCCTTGCACAAACCCACAGGGCTACGACCCTTTTCTACAACTACAGCGAGGGTGGGTGGGTGGAAGTCGGGGGACAGCATCGAGCTCATGGAGGCTCCCCTGTTCTCTCTCTCTGCCTCAGATCACGCACACGGTTAACCAAACGGGGATCTAGCGAGGCGAGGGGGCTGCCTTCCCCTTTCCCAAGATCGAGGCAGGCGATCGCCTCTTGCAGCCGCCGGGGATGCCGAGCGCGAGGGCGCGATTCCTCGGGGCCTTTCCCCGTTTACAAGAATCGCGGCCACAGGAAAAGAGCTGCCAAAGATGGTTCGACAGCAGAGGTCCGAAACGCTCCTTCTAAAACGACCATTATGGGATGGAGCTGGGAGAGATGAGAAGAGCACGGAGTCCCGGAAAGCTACTTACTCTCTTCCCCCCCCCCAAGGAAACTTTTCCAAACTCTGGAAAAAGTATGCCGGGAGCCGTAGCCGCCTGTCAAGGAAAGCAGAGCGCAGAGAGAAAGGAGCAGGAGTTGTTTTGGGGCTCGGCCTGTTTTGGGAGGCGACGTGGAAGCGACGCCCCCACCCCAACCCTCCTCCCACCCGAGACAGCCGGGATCCCGGCTCACCTCCGGAGCCGAGTCGCCCATGGTAGCGGCGGCGGCGGCGGC